TTTTTTTTTGATAAATCAGAATTATGGAAGAAAATATGTCGAATTTCGATTCGACTGGAATGTTTTATTTTACTTCACCAAGACGTATTGAAGAAGCTGTTCTTGTATGTAGTAATATAGAATAGAATGAAATTATGGATGTTTTTCTTATCATTTTGCATAGCATATGGAATGTCTTCGTGAACGTCGTCTTGCATTTCGTCGACAGAATACAATAAAGAAGGACAAATTTCAATTAAATCCATCACCAGAATTTGTAAGACCTACACATCCTGTTCATTTTCAAGATCGTAAGATATAAATTTTAAAGAAAATCATTACGATGATATACTTAAAGTATCCTAAAAGTAGTAGTGAAGACATTTTAATTCTTTAATAAAAAAAGTTTAGAGGTATTTTCTTTCTGTTTGGCCTAATAATAAAAAAAACAGTGCTGTACATTTCTCTGGTTTTTTTAATCATTCTACAACTAATATTATAAGAATAGAAGTTAAATAAAGACTATTTGCTATGGTGTGTAATGTTAATATCAGATCAGTGTCTGTGAAACAACAAAAGTAATACAGAAACAAGTTCATTAAGTCATCATTTTTATTAAATATTCGAAATAATTGTCTTGATTATTTTCGCACTCAATCGCATTCATTGAATCCATTTATCCAACACTATGGAAAGTATTCATGAACTTGTTTCTCTATATCGTTTTTGTTCTACTGTCTCTCTACTTTGCTCAAAAACATAGATGAAAACTTCTGAACTTATTCTTGTTAAGAATATTAAAAGAATCCAAGCAGATAAATTTGAATCGAACGTTTACTATTCGAAAAAAAAAAGTGAAAGACAAATAATGTTGTCGACCATCTGATTTTCTGTTTGGATGCATCAGAAGGTTGTAGGTGTAGATGATGGTGCTCTACTCTTCACAAAGACCCACACCCCACTTTTCGGCAATTTTACTTTCGACTATAAATCATAGTACTGATGAAATATCAGAAAAATGTAGAGCATTGTTTTTATTATCAAAGCATATACAGAAATGATTCTAGAAAATATTAAAATACCTTCGCTACTACTATTTTTCGAATACTCTAATTAACTAATAATTATTTTCATCTAGATGTTATTGTGTGTCTTCATGCTGATAAATCATCACCAACAATTGGTTTAAGAAATTTTGTTATGCCTCTTCGTGCTAGTTCATTTCGTCGTCATGAATTACCTACAATTATATTTGTGACAGATCTTGATTATATTAAAAATGAATGGGATATGATATCAACATTTCCTGATATTTATATTCTTAATGTAAATTTTTTTTCGAAAATGCGATCTAAAAAAGAATATTGAGGTACAAGAGAAGAGTTTTGAATCTTAACATACTTATTGCTTTTCTAAAAAAGACATGTGTCCTAAAATAGATGGAACAAAACAATTTCTCTGTGATTAGTCGTGTTTTATTTTTTAATTCCGCATGGATTATGCTTAGAGCTTGTTTTTTTTTTGCTTTAAGAAAATTTTTTTCTTATTAGGGTTCACCAAGTAATCCTTATAATTTACAATTAATATGTATTCAAGATTGTCGTCAATGTGTTATTATATCAACATTAGATCGTGAAAATCAAGATACATATTTAGTTGATAAATCATCTGTACTTTGTACATTAAATATTCGACAAATTGAAATGAAATCAGCTGGATTTGTATCAATTATGAATTTAACTGGACAAAATTCATTTGATATGAATACTAATCAAACAATGGCTTTACTTCAAAATAAAATTCGTACATTAACAACATTAAGTATTAGAAAATTTTTGTTTGTTTATTTCAATAAAAAAAAACATTACTTTTTTTCTAAAATATTTAGCAATTGATTCAAATGTTCAATATGTTGAACAAGGTAAAAATCTATATTTGATAAGAAAATTCTAAATTAGTATTATTGGAATTTATAGGTGATACAGATGAAGTTGAGTTAGAATTTTTTTTAACAACACCATTTGCATCTGGTATAGATGAATGACTTGTGTTCTTTTTTGAATCTATTAAAGAAATTGTTTGTTTTTTAAGGATCTGCATTTGCTGATAGTGTACTTGATTGTATATTAAGTTGTGTAAGTTTCTTAATGACTTAAAAAAAAATAATTTAACATAAAAAAAAAATATTCATTTTAAAGGCTTACTATAATGATAATGCAGTTAATTTACTACGAAATATTTTAACAGGTGGTGTTGATTTACAATTAGAAGAAATTTTAGCTGAAGGTGGTGGTTTTACACAATGTGAATCAATGGATATATTAAAAAAACGAAATCGTGCTCGTGTTGCTATATTAGAAATTCGAGAATTAATACCAGATATTGATATGAGAGTAAACGATTTTCTTTTTTTTTTTATTGTAATATATTCATTTATTACTAAATAGACAAATCCAGTTACTTTCAATGTATTATTTTGTGAAGTTATTCAACGTTTTCATATGATTGTTATGGGTATATATCGTTTATTAGATATACTTGTTCGAAATGATCCAACAATTGATATTAATAAAATAACTGGTGGTCATAAACGTATTGTTATTTGTTATCCACCATATAATTATCAGATGGATCCATCTGATATGGTTTGTGAAGTTGTTTTTCTTTTGTTTATTTAAATGATTTAAGAACTAATTGTTTTTTAGGTTTATGTAATGCAACAATCGCGTCCACATAGTGATCAATATTCAAGGCAAACTTCTCTAACAACAACGCAAATGCGATGAATATTTTGTCAATTCTAATTAGTTGTTGTAGTTTATCAACTTTTTTCTTCGATTATTATTAATTTCAGTTATATGTATTTCAATTTTTTTTTCTTAACTCAAAAATAAACTTACGATTCCCTTCAATCAGAAAAAGTTACTTGAAGTTTTCGAGTATGATTATTGGAAAACAGAATCTCAAGAAAAAAACCACCTTTAAATTAAGCGAGAAAAATAAGACACAAACATAGTGCTATCAACACAATTACCCATACCCACACCCTTCTAATATCTATCTGTGGTTGTTGTAGTGGGATGACTTTTGCAACGATCATATAAATTGGCAGATTTTCATGCTCGTATTTCAGGATAGGAGTCAGTCAAAGTACCTGAAACTACTCTCACTCACACCTACCTCCATACAAACTTTCACATAGAAATTCGAAAATTATTTTTCCGAGTTTTCCTGAGAAGATCACGTTATTGAATTAAAAAATACTGTAAAAATTCAATAGCTTCGCAGCAATAAATGAAGACCATTAATTCTTTTCAGAATACTGATAGTTAATTTAAGTCTACATAATGCACATAATATCGAATCAAAAGCTATTTATCATGATATTCATTTCTTCGTAATGTTACAGCAAAATTTTAATACATTGATTTGCAGAAAAAACTTCACAAAAACAATGTCTTCAAGAACTGGATACATTTATCGTATCGACGGACACTATTAGCTTGTCTTTAGAAATAAATTAGAAAATTTAAGATATGTAAACAATGATATTTCCACTGTTTCGAAAAAAAGTATGATAAAATACATTTCTCACGTGATCACTTTGTCTGTTTCTTTCTACAAAAACCAATGATAAAGAGCCTTTGATGATTTAGCATTTTTAATCAGATCTATGATGAATAACTCCATTTCTTTTTAGGTTCTGATGAACTACCTACTTCTCCACACTGCTCGATGTAATAAATAGCAGTTTATTAAAATCTTATTGATTGTATAATAAAAAATAAAATACTATTTATGTTAACGAGAACAATAGTCAACTAATCTTTATTAACGAATTGATTCCGAACAAAATACGATTTTGGTCATAATGCTTCTTTGAGCTTTAACGATTTCAATAAATGAATTCCCTTTAATATATTCATCGAAACCCATGTCGTGAGAATCACCGCGATTTTCGCGATTTTCTAAAAAATTGGCGTAAAATCGTGTTTTATCGTATTTCTTTAAAAGATCGACGATTATATCAGATTTTATCGCGATTATGGGAGAAGAGCTGATTTTCAAAAATCATTGATAAATCATGACAATTATTCATTCACCGTTTTGTTATGAACACACACGGATATATAAGCAACGCCGTTCAATGCATAACAAATAAGTTTTCGAAATATACTTTTCTGATAAATTATTTCTTGGTTATTTTTAATCAAAAAAATGCCAATCCTGATCTATGATCTGGAGAGGACTACACTGAAGCGGTCTGATAAGAATCAGACCAGCTCGAGATTGGACAGATCGAGCGATCTGATTGGCTTGGATCTTGAGAAAAAAAAATTGAATTAAATTCAAGAAAAAATCCAAATATGTGTCTCCCAAAGAACCAATGAAATAGTAGAAAATATCAGTAAACAGACGGTTAAATCTTGCATAAAATCACGATTTATCGTAAAAATCGCCGAAATAATCGGGAATAATCGGCGATTTTATCGCGATTCAGCTCACGATTATCGTTTCGATGAATCGGGATTAATCGGCAATGTTTAGCCGATTCAAAGGACATGGGAAAACAGTGATTCCCCTCATCAGTCAAAGTAATACAATGTACAGGTCGATTCGCTTAACAAAACTAACCCTGCTTAACGCCCGTGTTTAAATTTAGTAATCATTACAAATTTCGATCAATGAATTCTTTATAAAAAGAAACATGTTTCGATTTAGTTTTGAAACACTTCTTTATTATTCTACTTCTAGCAATAATCGAACCAATGAATCATACTGCGCCACTTCATCAGCAATGAGTCATGTCATGGGACGGGAAAAAAAATATTGCATGAATAATTAATAGGTGATCACAAGGTTTTTTCTCGGTTATTTTGATCACGTCCTCTTTCGTCACTGTTTTTTTATTCGTAATATTGTCCTTCGTAAGAGGCTCAGTCATTAAAAATAATTATACCATGCCTAACAGTTATATTTTAATATAGTTTTTGTTCCATATATTTAGGACATCTGATATCATGTATACTAATGTTCAGCCACAAAATGTTTATTATATACCACCGGGACAATTTGAACAATTACAGGGACAAGTTTATGATGTAGGAAGAAACAAAAGCAAATCTAGATTGTTTACTTTTACTGAATATTCAATATCGGTATTTTAGGTTACACAAATAATGAGAAATAATATACAATTAGGAATACAACGTGGTGAAAACCTTGATGATCTTCAAATTAAAGCAGGTAAAATGATTTCTGACTGAAAAAGAAAGTTTTGTTCTGATTGTTTAAATCAATATAGAGGATCTGAATAACTACTCTCAACAATTTGCTCATACTGCACAAGAAGTTCACAAAAAATATTGGTGGCAAAATGTTTATGTAAATATTCTATTATTAATTTATTTTTCGTTTTTCAATAATAATTTTCTCTTTTCCTTTTTAAGATGTGGATTCTTTTAATTTTTGTTATCATTGTAATCATTGTTCTCGTCATTGGTAAGAAAAATCCCCTGAAATAATTTATAATAAGACGAATTTTATATTTTTTTGTTTCTAGTCCTTCCTATTCTTGCGTCACAGCATAAAATTTAATTTGACATTAACTTTTATTAAATCAATCTTTATACGTCTTTCATAATAGTTATTTTTTTTCTGGTGACTATTGGTGATGCTGATGCATTTTTATTCAATTTTTTTCTTTTTTTTTTTGCATAAATCGTTGACAAATAATCGAATATCTTCTCAATAAGATATTTAATAAATAATTATAGAGTTACGATAGATCACAATATAATTATTAAAATGTTTTGCTTAACTATTAAAGTAGCTTCGTTACTAGATAATATTTATATGTCACTATCGTGTCACAAGTATATCTATTTTCTTTATTGATGGCATTTTCAAAAAATGATTTGTTATTGATTCTCTATTGGTTCCGGACATGTCAATCTTTATTTCAAAATTCTACATCTATCATTTTTTATGCTGAAAAAAAAAACAAATTCGATCGTCATTTAAGTTACTCATATCGAATACAACTATTTGAAATGTATAATTATTTTTCCTTATTGTTTAAAGTAAATATTGTTATTTATCAAAAAATGCAATAAAATCAGATAAGTCACTGGATAGAAAAACATGTATATCTTGTTCTCGTATTACGTTTTTCACATGAGCATTGATTTAATGTTTCACATTGTCAAACATTGGTCGTAGTAAATAGACGATAAGTGTTTTATTTTGTATTACCTAATAGATAAACTTTCGTAGACAATAAAGTTCTTTCTTTTTTTATTTGATCATGTCATAAACTGATACAATCTCGATGACTAATCAAGAAGCAAACAAACTTTCTTTTTTGTTTCATGAAGAAAACGATCACTTGCGTTAGAACGACATATTTCATAAATCCAATATTTTGGCGTTACTTCTAAAAATTTAGTACATTAAATTTAAAGAATCCAAATCGTCCATTGATTAGACATCATTATACATAACCTACAAGTCTTTAACAATAGTATAGAGACAAAATGAAGAAAGAAGTGTAAGACGAATATCTTGTACTTTTTTAGTTAACAACAGAAAGCGAGGAGTAAATTATAATTAGGATTCAAATTTGAAGAAAAACTTCATAAATCGTAGAAAATAAAGAATATGAATGATAAAAAACTGAGTGGACATTCAGGACAACTTTCTTTTATCTGCAAAAAAAAGACTAGAAATGAACATATGGGATAGAATGACACAAAGTAAATATTTATTTCGAATTTATTTTGTCTAGTTTCTATAAATAATTTTTGCTTTTATAAAACTATTTCGTTAAATTATTCAAATTCATATATATTTATTTATTTTTGTTTCATTAATATTTTCTAGTAGTTTAAATTCTTGCTGCTAAGGATAAAATAAAACGAATATTAAAATCAATTTATTCAATCAAATTGTACTCTATAATTATATTTTAACGATGTGGAACTCTGTCTAGTCATCTTTCCCAAGTTTTTCTATTTTCTCAGCAAGTTACTCAAATTGTTATTGTGTATCGCGATCATCTAAAGATTGAAAAGTCGTACGATTTTCGTTCGGACATTATCACAAAGTCTCATTCGTTTTTTCGATTCGTTCCACAAAACGAAGACTCCGAAGTGAGAATTCTGTTTTATTTCAAGAAAAATGAAAACAGTTTCAGCAGCAACAATTATTTTATCGAATGTTATTATCAATACCCATACTTTTAATACGAAAGTTTTATAATCTCATAACCGATGAGTTTAGTTTGAGTCCCAAAGTGATTATACAAAAAGATCTAGTTTTGAAACTAGACATGAATTACAACAACAAACTCAAATATCCACAGAAAACTCATAAATATTATGTCTCATTCTTAAAACAAATTAGTAATGATAATTTTATTTTCTTTTTCGTTAAGAAAAGTGTGAGAATATGGATATAGAGTATGCAGTTTGGATCATATCTTAGAATTAATTGATTTTTCATTAAAAAAAAACAATCCTTAGCAACAAAAAGAACTGCCTACCACCTACTCTTTTATCAACTTCGTTTGGTAGTGAACTTTTAATGTAGCAGAAAGAGCCTACTGGAATATGAATTCGTCATATATTTTCAAACAACAATAGTCACTATTGTGTTTCTATGTATACATTCATTTACAGCAACATAAGGAAACGAGAGAAAACACTTTCAAATAACATAAAAAGAGAATGGAATGTGACATACTGTATGAAACTATCTTACAATCGTTTTATTTCATTCGTTCGTTCTCTGGTGCTATCAAAGACAACAGCTGATAAAAAAAAAGAAAAAAAAAGAACTGAAATCACTACAAAAATAGAAAACAGATAGAAATGTCTAATAAAATTACAACATATCATATAACTACGAGTGACTTGATTAATTTTTTTCATTATTCAAATTCCATGCACATCATGGTCAAAAATACAAAGCCAATAACAAGAACTACTGCTATTCCATCTGAACATACGAGCATAAGACTACGACAACCTCTTAAAGCTCTAATGGTTCAGAATTTCGTCGTAGTGTTGCCCGATGCCAATATCAATGTGATAAGCAACAGTAATGGTACCCATGCCATCAGCAAATTCAAGAAAGTAGTGAATAAAATAAATCCATTCACTAATGTGAATGAATGTTTTGCCTTTATAACTCGTATTCAAGTAGAGAAAATATTTATGATCGTTTTTGGTGCCTTCGCACAAACAACTCTTTCCATCGTCAATGATAATCTGCAAATCAATAGTATCATTTTGAATGACAACCAAACTTGACATGAAGGTTGGATCAATAAATGGTTAAAACTACAAGAAATCCTTACACAGAGTACTTCTATCTATGAAGTCCTTCAACAAGCAGCATAAGAATGTGATCAAAACATGATATCGATCAGTTTTGTCACAGTCAACAGTGGAAACAGCAAGCTAAATATCAACCAATTAGATTTGTCATTTATGTACACTCCAATAATGAAGGGAATTTTATAAACCATTAATTTCAAATAATAACACATTGATGAATTTATTACACATTATCGTCAATTATTCATTGTGAATCCGAGATAGTTACAAAATATCGACAAACTCGAACGAGAATACCACGAACATGTCCCGATATGGTGGTATACGTACAACTGTGTCCTTTATTCAATGCTAAATCGCGATCATCACACATAGTGCAGGTCGATTTCATCATTACCATGGGTTTTTTATTCGAGATGTCCACAATCACATCATTCAATTTCATGCACAACAATTTGTAGGACATTTTTATCTTCAAATTCATTCACTGTTTATCGTGGTCAAGGACTGTCAAAGGCTGATTTTGATCAACTGGTCAAAACCAAAGGTGGACTATTATCATTTAATGATTTTTTTTATCGACTAGTATGCAGCGTCAAATATCCCTCACCTTTGCTCGTAAAGCGACGCAATCGTCTGATCTGATTGGTATTTTATCCGTCCTGAAAATTGATCCATCCATTGTATCAACACCATTTGCTAACGTCTGTCATATCAGTTATTTCAAAGAGGAAAAAGAAATTCTATGTTTCAGATTGTAATTATGAAGCAGATCGATGGAAATAATCGTGCTTGGTAAGTCGATCTAACATGGGCCAGTAACAACGATCTACATCCGCATGTGCTTGCTGAACACATGCACAAAAGTATCCATCCTCAGAAGACATAATGGAATCGCCTGTGTGAGTTAGTGATTAGATTGGAGCAGTTCAGCAAAGCTCAAGAATTGTAGAGTGGTTGTGGGCGTGGATGTAAGTTAACTCAACAACTATACCTATACTCACACACAGCCCACATTCGCATCCCACACCTACACCCTCTTGGAACTAGAAATATTCGCTTACGATGGTTTTATACTAATCGAAGACCAACAAATACATTTCGCCCTTGAGTCTTCCTTTTCGAATTCATTTTTTAGTTTTCTTCTTTACATAGCATTCCTACCTATATCAGCTAGAAACAATATTCTATTCAAATAAAACCACTAACACAATTATCACACCTTTCTCTAGGTCTCCTTATTTCGAAAACACATAATCACCCGTTTTCTTCAAAAAACCACTCATGCAAAACTTATTTACCGTCTTCGTGATGAAAAGTAGCAATTTCATCGTCATTTGTGTTTGAATACTGTTCTTCGTTTATTTCCTTTCATATGAATAGAAATATGTTTAAGGTTCCGTATAGTCTTTCGTATATATCGGTGGCTAATTATTTTTTGAACATGGGTTTTGAAATTGCTGACTGTTTTCTCAGAGAGAAAAGAAATACGAGATGAATGCCCCATTTGCGCATACACTCAAAGTGATGCGAGTAGATTCGAACGAATTTGGAATGGTATTTAAAGGATATATTAAAAAGCAAACCAGTTGTTAGTTAGGTTCGAATAGTTATCAGATGTCTCGACGATATTCGAGTCACGGATAAATATAATTAACAGAAATGCGTTGGGTGGTGTTTATATCTTCATGCATGAATATTCATGCAGTTTTGAAGGCATTGTAATGCGTTAAACTTTTAATGTGTGCAATTACATGATAATGCAAACTATTTGATGCAATGAATGAAACTAAGCAATGCATTACAATGCATGATGCAGATGGCATTATCATGTAATTGCGTCCATTGTATTTCTATTGAAAAATAATGCATTGCAATGTACATTCTTTCGAGAAATCAGCTACATGGGTATGAGTTCTTTATTTAATGTAGAAGAAAAATAAATAATTAAGCAATGAAACAGAAAAATATCAGTCTACTAGTGTTGTTGACCTAAAATGAGTCATAAACGAACAATATATGTGACGATAATTATTCAAAATAATCTCAATTTCGTTGTTGTGTTATTCTTTCGAATAGTATTTTTATACGATGAAAAATAAGATAAGCTTAAATTCGCAAACTGATATGTCAGTCCATTCAAAACGGGTAATTTTTTCGACGAAAAAAAAGTTCTAGAAATTGTTTAAAATGTTCATAAACCAATTCAGTTTTTTATGCTGCTTTCGAATATCACATTAGTTTTGATTCAAATCGAACTTTTTATAATCGAAACCTCGTGAGTATTGCCAAAAAGGACAAAAAAGCTGCATCTAGAGAATAGTCTGCTTAGGAGTTTCTTAAACGGCTATATTTTTTTGACTTTGTGAAATATATGGTTTTGTAGTTTTCTCGATGGACTATCAAGTAAGTAATACCGAATTTTTGGTCATTTCAATTTTTAAATTACAATATTTATTGAAACATAAGAATGCTTAAGAAATACAGCAACTATGCTATTAGTGTCTAGCAATGTAACCGACCTATATCTTGAGAAAATAAACAATCAATTTGTATTTTATTTATAGGATGAAAGTCTAATCAAAGCGCTATCGAAATTGATAATATCAAGTGCATTTGGTGTGCCCTGCTCATTTTCAAATAGAATATACAGTAATACGTTTGATTATTGGAATAATGACTAAAAATGCATTACTTTGTTGATAGATTTTGGCTTTTAAAATTCGTTGAAAATCTCATGAAACTGGTGCCAAAAGGTTCGTCTCAACATGCTCCTTTCGTTGATATCTAGTGGACCGATTTAATCTCTTTTACGATCCTCTTCTTCTGTTTTAAGGCAGTTTTGAATAAGAAACAATAACAACATCTCAAATATGCCTGTGAGATACTATTCATAGTTCATGCATTTCTCAAGTAAAGCTTTCAAAAAAAAAATATTAGGTATGCATATGTGCCGACTTAGTTTGCGTTAAACATATTTCAGTCACAGTTGTCAATAGTCGACGTAATTCCTATTCATTCAAAAGTAATTCAAATACTGAAAAATCTCGCATCTTCGATTTCATTCTTATTGATATTATTTTTCTTGTCCTTCTCTCTTGAAATCCTATATCTTTCAAGATATTTTGGATGTTTATTTTTCAATTTACCGTAATGTAATATTAATTCACCATCAGTTTTTGGTTCATTCAGTACAATAACTATCTCCAAAAAAATCAACAACTAACATTATTACACAAAAAAACCAAAACAATTTTTTGTGCTAGTACACAACATTACCAAAAAAATAATCATTCGGCCATGACCAACAGAGAAGAAAAAAAAATATTTGTTAATGTGCTACGTCAATACAGCACAAGCATTTATTTTCTTTTCAATAAATATCTTTAACATTAATCTAACTATTGATCATAATATATTATTAGGTCGTTGATTGATTTTTATTTAATACTTGCATAACAATTTTCACATAGCATTATTCATATATTAATATGACTAGTTTCAATCGATCGACTTCAAGTATTAGTTGATGGTTCATCATCAGTTTAATCACAAATATCTAATTAACAAATAAAATTAGAAAACGTGAAGAAAGAAGAGTTTCCTCTCTCCATATTATGATTCAGAATTAGTTCTTCATTAAATTCATCTATTTTAATGAATATTATACAAAATCTAGAATGGTGTGATCTGGATCATATGCCATTAGGATTTGCTTTTTTATCTTGAACTATTAGCTGAACTATATATAATTCTATTCTCAACTTCTTTTCATATTCAATATAGGTATTTAAATATACGATTGTTAATCCTTGTAACATGATCATTTTGAATGCGACGAAGGTTTTTATGGATTTTCATATATTATAGTTGAACAAATAAATAAAAAACTTCTTGTGGCAGAATTCAAATAATGATATTCAATATGGAATAATACTCATCTATCTTATATGCTTATTTAATGAATAATTAAGTGTACATAAAAGTAATCTGATTGGCACATAAGTGTATTAGATGGATTCACATGTAAATTAAATTTTTGTACTTAAACATTTTATGAGAATATCATTCGAATTAATATTCGTCGTTTGAGCTCATGTTACGCATACAAGGACATCTCGTTGAGACTATCAAAAGTGTAAAGAAATTTGTCTTCATGATCGTTTTACTAAATTCTCAACCCAGATGCGGTTATGAATTGACAAACAACGTAACAGAATTTCGATGTGAAATGCTGATCACAAGTAGATTGGATGACCTATAGCATATTCTTAAAATTTCAACCGAAAAGAATGCTCATTTGTTGAGATACCGAATTTCTAAAAAAATATTCGCTTATCACTGACATGATGCAAAAATTGAGTTTACTTGAAAATTCAATACGTTGATAAGAAAAAAAAACATTCTTTTCGGCTGAAAATTTCAAGATATTCTACGGATTACTCGACTTATCTACGAGAAAAAGTCCAGATCGAAATTCCGTTACTTGATTTGTCAATAAATGCCTATAGTTTAGTCGAAAATTCAGTAAAATGATTAAAACGGCTTCTGAAACCTATGAAGATAAACTCTTTTAGTCTTTTGTTAATCTCATAAAGACGCTCTTGTAGAGTTAATACGAGCTTAAAAGGTGAATATTAGTTCGAATGGTGATTCGTCATCAGCGACCATTGATAGTAAGTAATTAAAACATACTTAAATTAGTATGAACTATTGTCATTGCTTATATTATTTGTTGATAAATGAAGTTGAGAAAAAAAAAAAAAACTGCGTGTTATTTTATTTTTTGAATGAAATCAATGATGACATGAACACTATTGGTAATATCAAAGTATACATGACAGAATATAAACGATAAAACTGTAATGAATAACCATGAATATTCGTAAATTGTATTCTCTTCATAGAAAATCTTGAAGTCATTACAGAACTATTTAGAAACACTCAGTTAGGGTCTAACTTGAAAAAAACTCCATTACAATTATAAAAACTCAATAAAAACAAAATATTTTTCTAGCTGCAAATCAATCAATAAAAGAATCTAAATCAACATTCCTTCATCATATTAATCAGATAAACATAGGCATAAACGAATGACCTAAATAGACGAGATCTAGAAGAAGCTCAGCTTCTTTCTTCACCTAGAAGGCTTTAAGCTTGAGAAGTCTTCACTTACGTATATTATGAGCGGATGGAGTACCTACAAATTTTTTTATGATTATGTCACGAGAGTAAATATCAAGTATTTTAGTACCGTATTAATAATACTTGTCATTATAAATATCTGTCAACTGCTATGAAAAGGTTAAGATATTAGATTTTTATTGCCATAGGTAATTTTTTTTTATTACTACAGTATCCTATTAATTATTGAATAGCTATTTAATACAAAACTGTAAAAATATTTGAATACTTTTGTATAAGATGGCGCCACTTGACAGTTATATTATTTATCTAAGTAATTTTTTCTCATATGAAGATAAAATAAAATATAAAAATCTAGTTTTGTTTTTTAAATATAATAAATTAATTGCAAAATATTTTTCAAATTATAAAAATAATTTCGAGGACATTGCAGCTAAATCTATGGTATAAATGATTATCGAATCAAAATAAACTCAACGTTAAAGAACAGCAAATACGCAACCAATTTCTTCGTTCATTCATTCATTCTAGAAGAATACAACAGCGTCCTGCTGATTGATTGACAGGGTTATCCCTCGCTTCTAGCATAATGTATTACATTGCCACATATATATATACAGATAGAAAAGAGATAGTTTGCTCGACTGTGTTCATAAATTGACCTCGGATAGGAAGGAAAGAAGACCCTTTAACTACTGTCATGCTTCTTTTTTCTTCAATCGATTGAATAATCATTGACAATATTACAAGGCAGACCAATTATCCTGTATACTCTAGTGGTCCAGTTCTTCTTATCATTTTCTAACATTTATATACACTCATACACATAAATACAAATGGCAACGACAACAAACTCCAATAATCTATTATTGCCTATGGATATTCAACAAAAATTACAAGAACTTGAACTTGAATTAGCCGAAGGTATGGTATTGATATGTTTATCGTTTTTATTTTCATTCAAAAATTTTCTACTTTAGGAGATATAACACAAAAAGGTTTTGAAAAAAAACGTACTAAATTACTAGCACCATATCAACAACAATTAAGTAAATAAAAATATTTATTCTAAAACGAAACAAACATAGACATTTATATATTTTTGTTTTGTAATAGATGAAACCCATGTAGGTAATAATATGAATAATAATAATAATAATGAAAAACTTTCAAATCGTCAATCAAAAATTCAATGTCGACGTCAAAAACGTGATGGTTATAATCGATATCATTCAGGTATATGGTTTGTCTTCAAAAATATGTTTTTTTTTTCTTATTAAAATCAATCATTTAGATGTTCGTCAAGAAGCAGTTAAACAAGCATTAGAACAATTCGGAGCTCGTCCTATTCCATCATCAAAACGTATTATTAATTCTCAAACAAAACGTAAGCACAAAAAAGATTCTTTTGATTTTTTTTTATAAATGATTTATTTTTTTTAGATGAATCTAGTGATGATGAAGATGATGATGGAGAAAGTAGTTCAACATATGCAACAACTGATGATCAACAAAATAAAGATTCATCTGTTTCACCTGTTCCTATTCCAATTCAAAATCATCATTATCAAAATCCACCTTCAGTGGAATTGATAATTAAAAGTAGTTGAATAAATTCAAAATTTAATCTTTTTCTATAATTATTCTATTTTGTTAAGATATCCAAGCACCACCACCACCATCAGCATTTTTATCTGATTTTATTCATCGTAGTCAAGAACCATCATGTAAGTTTCACCTTTTTTTTTTGTTTCATTATCAATTAAATCTCATGAGAATTAATGATTTTATTTTCATTTAATTCCCATTAGTAACTTTATGAACATAATAGTTTTTTCATGCCTTTTCTATTTTTTTTTCATATTATATTTGTAATAATAATCATTTTCGTTTTATCTTAGTATCGAATATTGAATGTGATTTAACACGAAGTGCTGGTGCACGTTATCGTGATTCAAATTCCGATTATGTTAATACAAGTCAACAACATTATGTATTATATGGTGATCGAAATGCATCTATAGATTTACCAAAATCTATAACAAATTCAATCAATCATCAAAATGAAGGTAGAATAACAGAACAAAAAGAGAAAGAAAAAAAGAAAAGATTTGATTTGATTAATGATAAATCATTTATTTAATTGTTAGATATCGAATAATTGATTAAGAATAGCTTGTTCATTGTCTAGTCATGCATGAGTTTTTATCATAAAAGAAGAAGAAAAAAACAAGATGAAAGAGAAAGAATATTTGTATGTGTTGAATGAATTGATAGTAAAAAATTCCTTTCTTCCTTCTCTCACATATTAACATTGTTCTTTGAAATACATTGAATATGTAGACTCACTTGACATTTCAATTCGTTCCTTTTTTTTTTTTTTTTTCTTTACTTTTTTTCTTGTTGAATGTTGTATGTACAAATACGACGCCTTATCGCTATTCGAACAAAGTAAAAAAAAAAGAGAATGTGAAAGAGAGAATAATCAACAGTGACTATTCAACTAAGCCTTAAAGACGATGACGATGATGATGAACGAACATCAGTGCCATAATACAGAAGGTGTTTTTGTTATATCACCTGCTATATCATCTAGTAGACGAATCGCCCCTGGTATTATGATTTTATAATAATATGTAATCGTGAGAACAATTATTTTTCATTTAGAACGTAAACCAAGCTTACGTGTTTCATCAAAAATTCTTGCCCTTGTTAATACATTAAAAGTACGTCATGTAAACAAAAAGAAAATGGCTTCTTAATTGGTTTCACATATTTCTTTTAGCGTCCAAAACGTAAACCAATGAAAGAATATTATGAAGATAATGAAGAAGAATTAGCTAGTAGGTCTATTTTGATTATTATTATTTTTTGATATATTTTAATCTACTTTATTTTCTTTGAAGTTCCACCAATTGATCCACTTTCACCAAAGCCTGAAGGTGGAATATCAGTTCCATCATGTGGTGAACAATTAATTGTTTCATCACAATGGCCAAAAACATTTCTAGCAGCACTACAACAACATGCTAGTCAACAGCCTCGTACTAATGCAATTACAATACTTGATGAACAAACAAAACCTTCACAAACATTGACGTTTCGTAAGTGTGTAAAGACTTTTGTAACGGAAATAAAAAAAAATTAATTTAAAATCCAAGAAGATTTTTACATGAAATGCTAAAAAAATCATGAGAAAAATTCTTTCTTAGACAAATCTTGAGAATTGTTTTTTTCTTCTTAATTATGTATTTACAAAAAAAATAAAACGAAAAGGAAGAGAAAGAATTCCATTCAACAGTTTAATCGAAAGCAATCACGTCAAACTGAAATTGAAAAAAAAAAGTTTTTATATATGATTCATACATTGCCTACGCCTTCTTATATTACTTTATTAAGATTCGGTTTAATATTAAATCAGATTCAATCATTAAAGTTCTGAGATTATAGATTTCTTTTGCTTGATAATTTTATTATATGAACACACAAAATGAATTGATAAACTTGATACTATCTGCTTTGTTTATCAATCATATATATAGAAATGAAGTTCCATTAAGATTTAAGAAAAAAAAAGACGCCACTTCCAAAGTACATTATACAATGAAAACTTTCAAATTCTAACAAAACACATCACTTTTATTTTCATTTCATGTTTATTGAAACAATAATTAAAAGAATATTTTTCTATGGATTCATATGAACAATGAACTTTTGTTATTTTAGTTAAACTATTAACACGTTCACAAAAAATAGCTTACAATTTACTTCATAAAGTTCATTCACATGGCAATACTGGTAGTAATTCACGAGAAAATTTACTTAAAACAGGCGATCGTGTATGTTAAAATTATTATATCAAACTTTCAAAATAAGGATTTTCTTGTTTATATACAGGTTGCTCTTGTTTATTCAAGTAATGATCCAATTAATTTTATTTGTGCTTTTTATGGTTGTTTACTTGCTGGTATGGTTCCATTACCTATCGATGTTCCATTAGCACGACGAGTAATAAAGAAATAAATCACTATTTAAAAGAAAAAGAAACTTTTTTGTTTTTTTAGGATTGGCTTTCACAACGTATTGGTATTCTACTTGGTCAATTATCAATTAAAGTTGCCTTAACATCTGATTCATGTTATCGTCAATTACCAAAAGTTCAACAACATAATTCAAGTTCTTCATCAGCAAATATAAATGAAATTATTTCATTTAAAGGTTGGCCTAATCTAATATGGTTTATAACTGAACATTTACCAAAACCACCAAAAGATTGGACTATTAATGATATATCACGTTCATTGTGTGAAACAACACCAGCATATATTGAATATACATCTGTTAAAGATGGCAGTATTGTTGGTGTTACAATAAATTATGAACAATTATTTGTACATACACAAACACTTGTTAATGCATGTAAATATTCATCAACAGATATATGTTTATGTTGTGTAGATTTTAAACGTCAAATTGGTTTATGGCATACAATACATGCAAATATATTATCTGGTATGCAAGTTATATTTATTCCAACATCAATACTTAAATCTCAACCATCATCATGGTTATTATCAATAACAAAATATCATATAACAACAGCTATTGTACGTTCACGGGATATGCATTGGGCTGTATTATCATTACGTGAAATGAATAATATATCATCAACTATAAATTTATCATCATTACGTTTGTTAATAATAAGTGATGGTTCAAATCCATGGTCATTAACAGCTGTTGATACATTTTTATCAACATTTATGTCACGTGGTCTTCGTTCTGATTGTTGTTGTCCTTGTTCATATTCATCTGAAACATTGACATTATCAATACGTAGGCAATATCATTCATCATCATCAATACATCAATCAGGTCGTGGGATACTTTCAATGCATGCATTAAGTTATGGTGTTGTACGTGTTGATCAAGATAATAGTTTAACATCATTAACTATACAAGATGTTGGTCACGTATTGCCTGGTGCTATTATTGGTATTGTTAAAATTGATGGACCACCATTACTTTGTCAAACAGATGAAATTGGTGAAGTTGTTATATCATCAAAAGCAACACCAAATGGTTATTGGGCATTACCAGGTTTATCAACAAATATATTTAAAGTAATACCATTAGGTTCAGATGAAAGACCAATTGGTACACAAGAATTTGTTCGATCGGGTTTACTTGGATTTCTTGGACCGGTATGTTAAATTGAATATTTATGACAATAGAATAAAGGAAACATTTTCCAGGATAAAGATCGGCAAGCATACTTTCAGTTTGGATATATTGAAAACATTCTTGGACGATTCTGTTCAGATAAAAAAGAACTTTGTCGTGCAACTGAAAACTCTTTTCAAAACAGAACAAAAATTTTTCTGACAGATTAGTTCTTTTGCTGATTTGATTCGAACTATGATTAGAGCGAGATCTTCGACTCGGAGGCTCCTTCACCCCATCCATAATTTCCTACGTTTTGTCAAACTTTTACAGCTTCATAGTGATTTTGGACAGATAGAAAATTCGAAAACACCAATTCAGACCTAGCTCACGGTGGATTTTGTTTTTCTTGCCCTCGATTATAGTTGACCTCTATTCAAATAGTTATTGATATGAAACGTTTAACTTTTATTTTTCTAGGGTGGTCTTCTGTTTGTAACTGGTAGTCGTGAAGGTTTAATGCAAGTTGCTGGACGTAAACATAATAGTGATGATTTAATAGCAACAGCTTTAGCTGTTGAACCAATGAAAGTTGTTTATCGTGCACGTGTTGTTATTTTTTCAATCCGTGTTTTACGTGATGAAAGAATAATTATTGTTGCTGAACAACGACCAGATATTGGTGAAGATGAATGTTTTCAATGGATGAGTCGTGTATTACAAGCTATTGATTCTATACATCAAGTTGGAATTTATTGTCTTGCTTTATGTCCAGCAAATACATTACCTAAAGTAATTGAAATAGATTTCATGTTAGATATTGATTAATTTTATTTTTTTTTCTAATAGACCCATTCAGGTACAATTCATGTTCAAGAAACCCGTCGACGTTTACTTGAAGGAAATTTACATCCATGCTCGTACGTTAATTTTTAGAAAAATATATATCTTAAAAAGAATTAATTTATTTTCTAGAGTACTTATGTGTCCACATTCATGTATACTTAACTTACCTAAACCACGTGAACATCATCCTGAACGAGAAGTTGGTCCTGGTGCTATTTTAGCAGGTACAATTATTCAAGGGATGCGTTTAGCTGAAGCTAAAGGTACGGATATGATTTTTACTGATGATCAAGATACATCTGATCAAGGAAAAAAAGTAAATCATTAAAAAGATAATATTAATCATGAATTATTTTCTGAATATTTTATCATTTTCAAGCTTCAATATATTGATGATATTCTTCGATGGCGTTCAATAACAATGTCAGATCATGTACTTTATTCAGTTATTAATGCAAAAGTTTGTAAAGAATTTTCATATAAATCACAAATTAATTTTTTCAATTGAATTTTTAGGGACAAGAATCAGCCAGTGTAACATGTTCAGCAGTGCATAAACGTTGTGAACGTATTGCATTAACAATTCTTGAACGTATTGAAATGAAATCATCTGATCATATTGCTTTATTATATCCACCATGTGTTGATCTTGTTTCAGCTTTTTATGCTTGTTTATATATTGGTAAGAAAAAATAAAATTTTTGAAAATCAAAGAAAAAAAAAGTTTCATTTTGTTTGCACTAGATGTTGTACCAGTAGCTATTCGACCACCACATGCACAAAATCTTCTTAATACATTATCAACTGTTAAAATGATGGTTGAATTAAGTAAAGCAAAAGTTATTTTAACAAATAGTTCGATTGCAAAATTACTTCGATGTAAAGTATGTAGATAATTGGTGATATTGTTTTTTTTTTGTATTAGAAATAGAAAATTTCTTTTTTTTTTCTAGGAAGCTGCATCATTACTTGATCCAAAATTATGGCCATTGATAATTGATACAGATGATTTACCTAAACAAAAGAAAAATCAAGTACTTCCAAAAAAATCAATACCAACACAAGCTCAATCACTTTGTTATTTGGATTTTAGTATTTCAACAACAGGTTCATTAACTGCTGTTAAAGTATGTTGAATTTTTTTTTTGCGTTGTATAGTTTTTTTTCTAAAAATTAAATTTTATTAGTTATCGTATGGTGCTGTAGCTAATTTATGTCGTTCAATTAAATTATCTTGTGAATTGTATCCAAGTAGAGAAATTGTTCTTTGTTTGGATCCATATAATGGACTTGGCCTAGCACTTTGGTGTATAATCAGGTTAGTTTAAATTATTTTTTTTATTAATGATGTTTTACTATGAATTAAGAATAAAAGCTATAAATTTGAAAAATTCTCTTATATTTTACATCATGATTTTATCAAATGAAACTATAGTTTTCAAATTTAGAATGATCATTCGAAGCGTTGAAAAGAGCATCTTTAGGAGTTTGAGAAAGGAATAAAACGATGTATTACTGAACTAAGTTTCATTATATTTCGCTGAATTCCATCAATTTAAGAGAATAAGAGTGAGACTTCATTCTGTAGGACAATTACTTTTCTAGTCAGTTGAGATGTTTTATACGCTATTATTCTATCTATAACGGATATATACTTAAGTAGTCCATTATCCGAACATCATTTGATACTTCCGGAAACTAAGTAATAGATCGTTCAGAAGAACGACTTGACAAAGAAGTTTGAGTGTTGTTCACATAAGTACTGCGCATAAAAATTAATGATGTAGCTTCAGAGGCTCATATCCTCAAGATAGTTAAGTTCCACTTAAACATGAGCTTTAACCTTGTTTAGAAGTACTATCAGAGGGTCGTTTCCTCCTCTCTTTTCGTTATAATGACATAGGAAGAAATAAATAAATTCACTCTTTTATTATTTTTGTAGTGTTTATGCTGGTCATCACTCAATTCTTATTGATCCAGCTGAACTTGAACTGAATCCATCAGTGTGGATGAATACAATTAGTCATTATAAAAGTAAAAATAAACAACGAATCTTTTCTATTTAATTTTAATTATTTATATTTCTAGTTCGTGATACTTTTTGCTCCTACTCGGTGATGGAACTTAGTACAAAAGGGTTGAGTACATCCATTGTTGATCTTAAAGTTTGTTTAAATAATTTAAGTTTTAATATTATTTCTTTTTTTTTTAATAAATATTTATTCTTTCTAGAATCGTGGTTTATCATTATCATGTGTTCGAACATGTGCAGTTGTAGCTGAAGAACGACCTCGTTTACAATTATTAAATTCATTTATTAAATTATTTCAAACATTAGGTCTTAATCCTCGAACTGTTAGTACAACATTTGGTTGTCGAGTAAATATTGCAATTTGTTTACGAGGAGCAAGTGATCCTGATCCAGCACCTGTATATGTTGATCAACGAGCATTAAGAAATGATCGTGTAACTCTAGTCGAAAAAGGTAGTCCACATAGTTTATGTTTATTAGAATCAGGAAAAGTAAGTTTATTGAATTTTTATTAATAGAGAGAAAAAAAAACAAACAAATTAAATTTTTTTTTCTATAGCTTTTACCGGGTGTTAAAGTTGTTATTGCTAATCCAGAAAGTAAAGGTCAATGTGCAGATGCACATTTAGGTGAAGTAAGTATTTTCTATTTTTTATTTTTGTATATATTAAATGCAATTATTTAGTTATGGGTTCAAAGTGGTCATAATTCACTTGGTTGTCAGATAATTAGTTATGGTGATAATCACCAACATCATGGATCTAATCATAATTCAGATCAATTTTATTCACATTTGGCGACGGGTGATACACGACAATTATATGCTAGAACAGGATATTTAGGTTTTGTTCGTCGAACAGATTCAATTGCTGCAGATGGAAGTAAGTCATGTCATCAGTTAGAATACAAGAATTAGACATAGTGTATTTATTAAAGCATTTTATGTTAGGATCGAGGTTTTTTTAAAGAAAATAAATTTATCGTGTATAAATCTTTGATCATGTGTTTATGGTTTTACGAAGTTTAAATAGGATAATAATAAAAAATGCTTGCTTTGATTTTCAAAAAACATCTAAACAAAACCAAACGAAACAAAAGACTGCATGAGCGTATTTAATGAAGGAAGTTTTCTAATTGATTAATCGCTTTTAAGTCAGGACTATATGCATCATGTAGATCCATAATTAAACTTGCATAGACATGGACCTTCACAAGAATTGTTTTTGGTGAAAGTTTCAGATCTTTTCATTGTTTCTATCCTAAAATCTGATGTATGTTTCACATCGCGTATATATGCCGGTCGATTCATGTTCTTATTTCTGAATAAGAACATAGAAAATATCTGAAACTTTCACAACAAACTAGACTCTTTAAGACCTGTCTTTGTACTTAAATACTGTAAAATTGCAATATCTCCGCAGTAATATGCTAAAGATATGAACTTCATTCATAGTTCATTTGGCTCTGTATGATGCGCATAGTCTCGATTTAAAAGCAATGCATTAGTTGGTTGACTTCTATTGTAAGTCTGAAAAATCTTTTAAAATTCTGACTGCGAACTTAATACATTTTGCTCAAGCCTAATCTAAAATAATTTTATTAATTAAGTATATAATCGAATCGGTTCGTCATATCTTTATTTCAACAAGAATTTTACAAAATTCGAATGTTAATAAACGAAATAAATATATTTATTTTTAGAAAACCACGATGCTGTTTATATAGTCGGTTCTCTTGAAGAAACACTTCTTATTCGTGGTATGCGTTATCATCCAATTGATATTGAAAATACAGTTATGCGTACACATAAACGTATTTGTGAATGGTATATTTCTTAATTTTTTCAAATAAAACAAAAATTCATCTTTCTTTTTTTCTTTTTACAATTAGTGCTTGTTTTACTTGGACAAATTTGCTTGTAGTTGTTGTTGAATATGATGGTCTTGAACAACATTCACTTGATCTTGTACCACTTATAACAAGTGCAATTCTTGAAGAACATTATGTGATTGTGGGCGTTCTTGTCATTGTTGATCCGGGTGTTGTACCGGTCAATTCACGTGGTGAAAAACAACGTATGCACTTACGTGATGGTTTTGTATCGGATCAACTTGATCCTATCTTTGTTGCTTATAATATGTAGACTTTCTTAATTATCTGTATATACATATACCCATCTATATAATTACTCACCGAATATTTGGCAGATATTTTTTAATAAAAAAAAATGTTTTGTGAGAAAGACGAAAAAAAAAACAGTAGTAGTCATTTGGATCTTTGATATTGTTTTTTGTGTTTGTTTTTGCACATGATAAATCTAATAAAAATGCACGTGTTTCTCTCATTACAGTTTTTTGTTTTCTATTTCATTATGTATTCCATTCTATTCTCTTTGCTATGAATTATTATGTTCGTTTACTTTTTCGTTTTCGGTTGAATTGTGACAATTTTTTCATAATATATTAAAACAGAAAAAAATAAAAATCTACGATGTGAAATAAGATATGAACATTAAACTTGTATACGTTTGAAAACTAAGACAACACAGAACAATTCAAAATTTCTTCTTTTCAGAGATGGCTTCTGTTATCACATCATCAGAGAATGAATCTATAGAAGAAAATGCAAGTACATTTCAAAATATCATGCGTCATATGATGTCATTTAAAGATGATCCTATTTCTATTCTACTTATTCGTCATCCACCTGTACGTACAAGTATTGAAGCTTCTAATCAACGACAAGTTCCTTTACATAGTGGAGCTAAAGCAATGCTTATTTGTCAAAAAAATACTGATCAATTTTCATTAATTGTTCTTCCAGCTCATTTATCATGTGATAATAAAAAAATAGCTTCTGCTCTTGGTATACCATCATCAAAATTACGTATGGCTACTGAAGATGAAGTACGAAAAGTAACTGGTTGTATCCCAGGTGCTGTTCCACCATTTGGTGCTTTATTTCCCCAATATGTCAAAACATTAATCGATGAAAAAATGTCTCAATCAACATCTCATCCACCACCATTACCATTTAATCCACAAGTAAAATTATTTTCCACAAATGATTCTGAATGGCCAAATGATTTAGCACATATAACAACATTATCAGAAAATATTGATCAAAATCGAAATGATTGTATTAATTTTAATATAGGTTTAAGAACAATATCATGTTCAATACCATTTAACGATTATTTAAGAGTATTGGGAGAAAAAAATTATTTTATTTGTGATATTTCAAAATAGGACAAAAAAAAATGAAAAATGAAGTTTATTATTTTTATATAAACAAATTTAACAATACGAATGATAATAGGAATAAGATGGTGCATAGGAAAAATAAGACGAATGTTGATATACTTGTTGCTGTTGCTGTTGTTGATTAGACATATTGTATGAATATAGATTTGTTGTTGATGAAGTTTTACTATCACCTTCAAGTAAATCAGTTAATAAACGAATATATGCAGAAGCCGTTCGAAGTGTTTCAATTTTTGTTAATTTATCTTCAGCAATAGGAACATGATTTGATGAATCATTTGAAGTATAATAAGATGATGTATCAATTGGTAATAATGTACGTAAATGTTCAAGTGCTTCATTGAGTAAACGCATTCGTGTACGCTCACGATCATTAGCACGTGAACGACGATGATGTTTTAATTCTGTAGCTAAAATGGGATCTGTAACACGTTTACGACCACGACGTGATTTAGTTGGTGGAATAATATTAGAAGATATTGAAGAATTGTTATCTATCATCGAATTTTGATAGATAATTTTATCATCGATTGAGGAATTCATTTAAGAATCTATTCGTTGAAGAAAAAAAAATGATATGCATTCTTATAATTCGTTTCTCTATTAATAATTTCCCATAGGTCACAAATTTTTTTTTTCGGAAAAATTCTTCATTGGTTATTGAGGAAAACATATATCCAATGGTATTGTTTATAATTGTTGCACAGCAGGATTCTACGATCGATAGATCATTCATGCATATAATTATATTCACACAGCACGATGCCGTTCATGTGCGTCGCACTTGCTCACCTTTTTTTTTGTGTTTTTTCTCAAACAACAATTGTTAAAATAAAGGCGGAGAAATAAAGTTGTCAAATGAAATTGGATGTATAATAGATATTAACATGTGTATACGTTCAAAGAAACTAGTAATTTTACTCTCTTTTTTTTTTGTTTTTATTTTCCATAGTTCACTAGAATGTTCTTTTTTTATTCTGCCATATTTTGCTTTGCATAGAAGCAAACTAGATAAAAAGTATGTTAAAAGTGTGATCAACAGTTTTATTTTTTAAATGATAAGAATATGATCTAAATAGTTGATCTGTTTTTCATTTTCTTAACACTATAGATTTTTAAGTGAACACGTGTATAGTTAATAGGCAAAAAGAATTTGTCATTTCTTTTTGTTAGTCGTTAAAATCATCAGGAGGTCGATCACATTTTTCTAGAGTACTACTTGAATTTGACGTTCGAATAACTGATTTGCCATTGGGCATACAACACATATCAAAATGAGTTTAATTCATTTTGATGATAAAATAGAAAACAAAGAATATATTGATTTAGTTTTCATGCTATGTTTGTTCTGTCAATCATTTGCCGTTGATCCGAATAAGTGTAATTATAAATGCGGTACCATCGTATACTGTTTGTTCTTTTAGTTAATATACGCATGTGTCGAAAAAGGAGGGAAAAAAAAATTAGTCAGGTAAAGGCTGTCAACCATAAAAGACGACATACCTTTCAATTACATGAATCAAAATGTTTGATCTTTTTTTTTCTGTTTCTTCTTTGATTTTGAACTATATAACAAAGAAGAATGTTTTAACTATTACAGAAAATTTGAATTCGAAAAGTTTATTAAGTAAAATTTGCTCTCGTTTAATCGATATTTTCTATGGAAAAAAATAAATACAACTTTGCATTAGAGAAAGCTATTGTTATAATAGAAATGAGAACATAATTTAGCAATTCACAAGACAATAGCAACAAAATATTTATGTAATTTTTTTACTAATCTTATTAAAAGATTCATCTAATGACAAACACCTTGTTTTATATAGTTTTGTTAAATCAAGAATTTGTTGATTCTGAAAAATAAATATTTTTATTTAGTGAAGACTTGTACATATTGTTATCAAGTTGTATTGTTGTAGCCAATTCGAACGTATAATCTTTCTCAAATGCATCAACCCCTACATGTAAGTTTGAATTGGAAGTGCTAATATTTACATCACGTCGGTGGTGCAAGTTCTTCAATCTGAGTATGTATGGGAATAGAGAAATTTAATACTTATATTCACACCCTTCGATGAAACAAGAAGATACCCAATTCATATTGTGTCAATCACGAAATCGTTGTAGAAGACAGTTTAAAGGAAATCTAAAAAAGTGATGATATCTTTCGATCTATCAATGATTGAAAGTTGTCTATGTCGTTAGTCAATGTGAAAAGTTGATGACTGATTATACGAATATGTATTAGCAGGAAACATCAGAGATTGATTTGATGATGTTCAAATTCAACTGACGTAATCTTGATTTTCTGTTTGTTTACAACTATAGTAAAAGAGGAATAATACGATGAATCAGGCTTTTGCGTCCTTCAAGCTACTGGAAAATTGATGATTTATTACTACTTAATCTTCGAATATTAGCCTTTTTACATGACTTTTCTTTATTTTTCACCAAGAAAATTAATGGTAAAAATGAAAAAAAAATAGCCATAGAGACATACTCCAAATTTTAAATACATCTATTTGTAATTAAAACATCCAGAATTATGACAAGAGATAGAACGTATAATTATAGCTGAAATTTCACTATTGTTTAATCTAGTCCTTCTCACCTGGAGCTGGAGGTATGATTTAAAACTCTGAAAGAGCAAAAAACTATTTTTGGGAGTACAAATGCATAGTACGTGGTTCAATAATCAAACTCCGCACGGGATCAATCATATTTTTGGAATCTTTTGACCTTCATGCTGGATAAAACACTGAATTTTGATGGTAATAATTTACAAGAATTCTAGAAAAAGATGACTTATATGTTAAGTGCTTATCTGTGATTAACTAAATAGAATAATGTAGAATAAATATTCTATTTTCCAATGTTTTAAGACTTGAAATGCTTCACTGACTCGAAATTAATAACTAAAATGACTGGTTATATAATTATCCATTGTTTTGAATTCGTGGTTGTTTTTATTTAGCAAACATGAACAATTTACAGAGTTTATTTCTTTTTACAAACCACATGGTTGAACTAGAACTTGAGGATTTGTGGGGAAAAAAATTAGCTAGTTGAATTAATTTTTGAAGAATTATTGTCATGTGTATCGTCTAGGTTAAATTAAACTTAGACTGAATTTATATATATAATAAGGCACAAAAAACTACGAAATAATTGTCTTTTATTTCAAACTAAGTTGTAATATTCACTTAGATTAAACAAACATAGCACGTATTTGCCTTTTGTTTTCCACTACACAGAATATTCATGTTCACTTATTCATATTATAATGTATGCATTAATGACTTCTTTTGCGTTGACACCGAAAGATGATTTTTCAAAAGTATTATTATGAACAAGTGAATAAATTCTTGGAGTATCAAATCTTGTGACAAGACAGTTCGTATTCTATGACAGGGTATATATATATAGGAAATAAAACATCCATCATTTTCTTTTGTTTAGAGAATAACTCAACAAAATTGAACTACATAATGTATTTATCTTTTATATGTCATCAATGAACCAAGTTAAATTCGAAGACACAAAAATATGGTACTCACAAGGCATAAGCTTCAAAAAGCTTACTAAGTCAAACTAGATTTCAATTAAAGTTGAATATATTTTAATATAAAATGAGTTGTTTATTTTCATCGTTTTCAATTTTTAAACATCTGTCAAATCTTTTAAAAACACTGTTTAATTTTGCCTAATTCTCATTTTTGCATGTCATGAAATGCTGTCTCGGTTTTACGAGATTGACTAACAATAAAACAAAAAAGTTGATTTCGTCAGAAGAAAGTTCATTATAATAAAATTCAGAACTCCAAACAGACTTTTTTTGATAATATAAAAGATATCACAAATAATTAAGAATTTGCTTTTATAAATTTTAGTTCAACACGTCAAGTTTAAAGCAACTTACAGATCCTTTAAGAGATAACTTGACTGGACAGTTCAGTGTGTGACATCCTCTAGCCATGAAAACTTTTAATTTTTTTCAAAGGAACTGAAATTTTTTTCGTGCACTCTTTTAGAAAAAAAACTCTTTACATCTTCCTGAAAAATTGCGACACCTTCCCAATATTGACTGCGTCAAGTCAGCCAACCTTGAATTCTTCAGTAAAGTGAAAATTTGTCACAGCAAATTCAAACATATTTGAATATCAAATAGTTATTTAATATAATTTTTTGAATAGATTTAATATTTTTCTAGTAATAGAAAAGAAAGCCAAAGATGTCGTTAGAGATCACCATTAAACCTGTTTTTCAATTAACTCTCTACAGTCAACCAGACTTGATGGTATTGTCATGACAACAACATGAAAAATTGACTAATTTTATTTTTGCTGATTTTGTTCTCGATAACATGATCTTTTTTGCGTGTTTGTATGTCAAAAAAAATTCGTATTTTTTTAAACTGATCAACAAACCCGGTGGTGCTCATTCCTAGGTCTTCACTATTTCATACTCTCTTTTTTATTTCTTGATCATTTTGTTAGCAAATGACGGATGTTCTTTCAACACAAACTCAATGGCCACGTAGTACTATGCCTGGACTTTCACAACAACAGCGACAACAAAATTATCAAAAGAATACTCGTCGTACATTACCAAAATTTAAAAATGATATTTCACCACGAACAACACCACGTAAAATAACTTTATTTCGTAATGGTGATCGTTACTTTGCTGGTAAACAATATGCTATAAGACCACAAAATTATTCAAATCTTGGACAATTATTACAAGAGTTATCAACTGCTATTGATCTGCCTTATGGTGTAAGACGTTTATTTACACCAAACAAAGGCTCAGAAATTACAGATGTTAATATTATTAAAGATGGTGCTTCATATGTTTGTGCTTCATTTGAACCATTTCAAAAATTAGAGTATACATCTATTGCTCTACCACGTGTAACATTTAACATTGAACAACGTAAGTCATTGCTATAAATATATATTTTTTTTCTACGAGTTCAAGTGTTATTTTCGTGTTTTTTTTTCAAGGACATATTATGCTATAACTTTTTTTAAACTTCTTTGGATGAAATTTGCTTCTCATTTATCGATCTTTATTTTAAAATAAGTGTTTCTCTTCGTTGATTTCTTTGTCGTCTAAGATCATCATTATTCCTATTAAAATATTCTTTAGACATATCGTAAGGATTTCTTTTCGTATTGATGCATGTCTAAGTTCTCTTCTTATTTATTTTTTTCTTCATCTACTGACATTTTTAATTACTATGATGATGATGCATTATAAAATCAGCATGTATATGCAGAAAAAAAAGAAATCGACAGAAACAGAAAAAGACGAGAATTGACATTAGAAATTTATCAATTGCAGGCTCAATAAGAATGCAAATCGATTTTATTTTTTCTTGTTTTCATTCTGTTTCTTTTTTGTTAAATCTTATGTTTATATTTATCTATAGAAAAAAGGATCAATATACAAAAACGAAATACTTGTCTGTCTCGTGAATTACTCTTTTATAATAAGTCACAGTAGAGTGTAGAAGCAAGTATTTGGTTTGAGAGTTGTTA